CTATTTAAATATCATTGATACCCGTTAGACTAAAACGTTATTACATCCATTCTGATATTTACCCAAGCTTCAGTGGTATGTTTTCCATACAAATGATAAAGATTTAGTAATAACCATGATAAAAACGTCAGACGTTCAACCTAACTTGCGGTATGGCATTTATCCACATGACATGTTTTATATTGCATGGATATATGAAAAGAAATTTAAGGTAGTTCGACTTTTTACCTTTATATCCGCTTAATAAAATGTGTGTCTCAATACCAATAAACATATCTGTTATCTTTCCATGAATGTTGTCTACTGAAACTGAGGTGTCAGATGACAGCATAATTCTATGTATACAAGATAGTAAACGACGAATAGATAAAAAAATTCCCGGATAGTTTTTCTCAACACAGAAGTATCCTAATAAACTCTCTCTTTCTCACTCAATATAGTAAGATTCAAGATAAATATGAACCAACATAAAGTTCACAAAGATCATATTAACAAAATGAGAAATGAAAATTAATCAGATAGAAACCAAGAAGAAGCATGAATGACAGGCAACAACCAAACCAGATATTGAGAACATAATTCGAAAAGAACCAATAAAGTTGGATAATGAAAAGCTTGGAATAATATTAGGGCTAAGAATTTAGGGGTAGGTAAAGTAAAATATACATCTTTGTTATTGAGTGGTTTTACGATATGGTATTCGATGAGCGTATAGACCTTTGCCAGTAAACACTCATTTCTCAATGCTTTAGTGCTGCGACCAAAGACTATATCGAATAGATTTAGTTCCCTTTGTATTATATCCCATCTACTAACCAGTATTCTAATCAATTCGATTTGGGAAAAGTTTGCAAAATCATAAAGTTAGTGAGTCATACACAACGTAGAGACTGGTACATCAGTAAATGGTTTCAGTTGCCACACCGCTCTAGTACAGGGATGAAATTGTCAGGGTCAGAGTAGTTTACGTAGTAACAGTGTTAGTGATAAACAACAAAGATTGGGCATATATTATTTGAGAAGAAAGTATAAATTAGTGGAACATAAGAGATTTCGCAAAGAATTTAGAAATTCAATGTTTGAGAGAAGACAAGAGGTGAATGACCCGGCGTAGTCGGGAACAATTTCGAATCGTCACCTTACCTCTAACCACTGTTTACTATAATTACACGGACAGCAACCAGGTGTTTACATTTATTTCTATGACTCACTCCAATTGTCAACGAACTCATGGACTGGTACAATGTATTGGTTATTCCGCCTCTACTTTCTAAAAACCTATTCCCCTACACCTGGCAACATTGTCTGTGGAGGTAAGCTGTGTTTGGCAAGACGTAACAAATGTCTTAACTATCTCAATCGACAAATGCTGGCTAACTCATCAATTGATATCATTCTTGTCTAGTACTCTGCATCTAACCTAAGAATTGATAACTCGATGGTTCGAAGACACCTATGATTAAATACTAGTAATCTACTAATATCGTCTATTTTTAAAAGGCTATGTTTCACAGTCATAAAGTAGAATAGAGCGAACTGCCACATAGTAAACTCGTTCTTTAGTTGGCAGATGGACATCTCCGTCACGTTGGAAAAGATAACCGAGACTTCGTCAGACACCAACCCAGGTCTGATAATACCTCCAAGATAAGTGAAGTGATCGACAGACTCAATGTTTTGATAACTGGTACACAACGCATAACCTCGAGACTACTTACCATATGAGAAATACGCTCTGAAGGCATGTAAGATAAAATGCTAACAATCTACACGCATAAAAACAATACATACAGTAAATAATAATAACTGAGGGTCAAAATTCAGTTATAAACAAGAGTTGGGATTCGATCCTATTTATAAGGTCAAACATCTTCAGGAAATAGCCCTTTATTATACATGTATCCAGAACAACAAAAAAACAAACAAGGAAGTTAGTGATTAATTATGGAGACTGAGAATAAATAATAATTGACTTGTAAATCAATAAATAATATAAGTATAAATAATTACTACTGTAACGTGAACTATTCGAAAATATACAAGCTTGATGACTTAATATGACTCAAGTTATTATGTTTATACCCTAGAGTACGTAGGCGTAACAGATTCGATACATAAACAATACAATAAGAGAGTGACTGCATCCACTAATCAACTCTCAACACCAACATTTTCTCTGACCCCGTTTCCATTCCCTTGGCCAACTACAGAAAATGTTCAAGTCGTGTAGGAAATATATGTCTTTTGTCTAGTTGGAGTTATAACGAGAACAAAATATGCGATTGGTACAGTTTAAGGCAGACAAAAAGAATGTATGCAAAATAAAGTAACCTCTACTAGTCTGTTTGTTGATATGTATAATCTCAAATACGCTAAACAAGAGAAAACAATAGGGATAGAGGTGGACTACAAACTTACTATAACAATTAAGAGAGAGAAAAATCGATGAGATCAGTCTCAAATCTAATAATATCGATGAGATGTAGGGTGAGTCACATATGCATAAACTAACGTAGGCATATACAAAATCAATACATTTCGAGACTAATTAATTGTACAAAAAAGAAAAAACCTCAGTGTTATGTATTTTTAAATAGGACAAGTAGGAATCTTTATGCAAAGATGAACTAATTTTGTGGTAAAACTAAAAAAAAACAATTGTTCACTGAACTGGTTAGTCCAGTCTAGACTTTGTTAAATCCTGAAAATCAAGATGATATTTATAATAAGATAAGATTAAACTAGGCATGATTGATAGGATTTGACAAAATATTTGAGTATTTGTAATTATAAAGTAGTTCACAAATGAAATGAAGTTACAATTTTTTTCAATAGATTTTCTACGGTTATATAATTTCAGAGCAAGTGAGTTTCCAATATACTGAATGAATGAACTATGGTTACTAAATATTATAATTGGCTAGTGCTATTTTGAATTAGTTAAATATAATCTAATTGGGGCTTTTGATAAGAACCTCTCTTCTACAAATAAAAAACACGAACTGAAACGTCTTAAAAACTTAGTCAGCTGACGAAATTTGAAACGGGCTACTACTCCTAAGTACAAAATAACTCAAATACTGTCACATTTTAGTTGATGAACATTCATAAGACAAAAATTTTCATCTGTCTAACCATCGTGAGAATGAATCTCTCAACAATGACATTTGAAATAAGCAATTACCATGCACCAAAAAACACAATTCCCATTATGTTAGTTGGTTATGTCTAATTTAGTAAGCCTATGAATAGGGTCACGGATATCCTGGGTAATTATCATAATGTAATGGAATCTGACTGAATTCTCGGCATAGGGTAGTGGATAATGTTGATTTTTATTGAAATCACGAACTAATCAGAGTTAGAAGATTGAAAATCTGGAAACACTGGATAGCCGCTTCTTTACTAGTGACTAACTTCTAGAGGAAATTTCCGACGAACCAGAGAGAACCCATGTCTAGTGAAGCTAAACCGTATCGGGTGTGAGGAAGGTACCTAACAAAAACCAAAAATCCTGGATTCGATTCGTGAGTGTGGGATCGTGAACAAGCAGTCATAAGAAGCCCCGTACTATATATATTCTAACCAAAGGCATATTGTAATACATAAGTGTTTTTTATTATCTCAAGAGAATTGGTAACAAAGTTTTGGATGGTCATTTATAGTCAGCAGCTATATATAAACACATATAACCACCAGTGATGCTTTCTTAAATAAACTTCGCTTCATTGATTTATCAAAAAATTGAATATTATAAATTACCAGGGTGCAACGTAGAAACTGAGTGATTTCCACTCGAAGATACTCAACAAGATTAGTTGATAAGAGGTTTACTAAACACTATGATAAAATTTAGTTTCACTCTAAACTGTTTAGTTGACACACATTTCAGGCATGTTTTGATAACAATCACATGATTCGAAGCAATTAGTCCCTTTGACAAATTTCGATAGTGTAATAAGAAGACGAAGATTATCAGAACTATGTCGAATATTAGCTCAATAATTTCGGACAATACAATTACACATATACTTGTTAGGAACATTTATATATAAAAATAAAAAGTCAAATAGACTAGAAATGGAGGGTAAGAGGAGACAAGGATAATAAAGAAAATAGTGTGAAAACATTATTCGAAACAATTTGAAACCTCATCACTCTGGATAATTAGCTAATAATACCAGAGTAGATTCAAGGTAAGAACAAACTGTGTTTGAATACACAAAGAGGTTAAGATCTGTTTCAACTATGTATTTGGCAATGGAGGATGATGAATGTTTATCCTTTTCTCTTTTCGGGTCATTAACAAGTATGTGTATGATCAGATTGTTTAAAATGTATTGCAATAAAATATCACATAGTTCTGATAATCTTCGTCTACTTATTACACTATCAAAATCACATGATTAAAAAGTTATATTGTAAACAATACTGTAATACTATTGGTACTACTACTTTGCAGATCAAGCAGAACACGTTTTGTGAGGATCAACTAGTTTGCAAATTCATTATGTAATCAAGTTGATTTCAATTATTTAAATTTTAAAAGCAAAAACAGAAACAATTTATTTTAATGTTAATCATTCACCACACTAAAAACATGCAACATCGAATTACTTAGTCATAAGAAACAAAAAGAAAAGGCAATTCAAGATTTGGACAGCTTACTGCAATCCAAATCTACTCAGTTCCTTTGATAAACAAACAAAATCTGAAACTTTGTTTAAAGAGAAAAAAAAATAACTAGAACAAAACTATAAGAGACAGAATTAAAACAATTAAGAATGAATGAGTTGTAAGCATCTCAGTTTTTCGTTTCACTTTTTTACAGAAGAACAGTTAACAGACATACAAACAGTAATCGATCTGTGAAAACAAAGAAAGCAATCTTGGACGGGAAGAAAAGAAGAGTAGAGATGGATAAAAAGAGAAAAATGAACAAAAAACATCAGCAACAAAGAAATTAACAACGAATGAATGTTAAATTATCATGAACTTACCATGAGATGAGGTATCAAATGTTGGAGTTTTTGTTAAATTACTGTTATACTGTCCTAGAGAAAAAGAAAAAAATATATAAACTTGTTTTCACTAATATAGTTGAAATAAAATCATAAAGGCAGTTTGTTAAAAATTCAAATTTCAATGAATATATTATACTATTTTGTTTGAAATATTTGTGTTTAAAAATAGAAACTGGATTATTTATTTTTAAAGTGAGAAGAAAAAATTTAATAAGATGAATTGAATTCATTTCATTTTGTGCGTTTAAATTAAGAGGGAACCTTTAGAAAACATAAAAATACATGATTCATAAATTGTTTAGATTGAATATTGATACTGAAATGGATGTTAAGTATGTGAAGTGCAAACGGATGCAAAACTGATAGGTGGTATTTTTTTTACAATCCAGTATTATTGGCTGAATATACACTCTAATAGTCATAACTGTTGTAAGCAAATAGTTATTATAAGTAATATTTAACAAAAAAAAGCTCATCAAGCAAGCGGGATAATTACAACATCATGTATATTTTCGGATAGCATATATCAATTCATTGATATAGAATGTTTATTAAACAAACCAATCACTAATGATATATTTTGATATTTCACATACCTTCGTGTTCACTTCATAACCCAAATCAATTTGGAAATAATTAGAACAATTTCAACTTGATTAAGAAGTGTTACAGTGTAATTTGTATCAAGATTCGAAAATGAACTCATCAAACTACGGGATTGATGCACTCACAAGTAAGGAAAGATGCCACTACAGCATGAATGCAGTGATAAGTTTATGGAAATAAACACACACATATACATCTTAATCAATGAAAGACTTGAAAAATCTAGTAGAAGCAGAGAATAATTATGCAACTTACCAAACGCCTTGAACAATACAAGATAATGTGGCTCACAATATGGATTGCCTTCCCATACACTGTATTTGCCCAAGCTATGAAAAGTTTTCAACAATAACAAATGAATGAAAAACAAGTTGTGTCTAGTTGCAAAATATAAGCAGTAAGCATAATTTAAAGGAAATATGGCAACTGATAAGTAATTAACGCCAACTACTGACATGGATTGTGTAAATATATGACAAAAAACTAAGTATATGCAGTGTCTGACATGTAAACAGAGATAATGTATTAAACAATATGTTGAACAATGTACACGGTTAGCTAACTAGCTACAATGCTGAATGGTCAATTTGTTTCAACTTTGTAACAGGTACGTGAACATGTATGTGCATTTCGAAAAATGTCATACAATGATCATCAATAAACATTTATCTTTAATCATCGTAAATCTTATTTATATAATATTGCTTTGACTGTTACTGATGACCTAATTATGTTGCGTACGTAATTCACTAAGCTCATTGATATAAGCTTATGTATATTAATGAAATAGGTAAAGCTTGTGAGTAAGAAGCCGAAAACTTATGTTCATGTCCATCGTAACTAATCAACGTGAAGTATCTAAAACTTTCCAGAGAACGGTGCTTAGCTATAACCTCCAATGTGTACTTTAGTACGAGAGTCAGAGACGTCACCAGTCGGGTAACGAAGCCCTTTTGTAGAACTGTGTCAATTATATAAATCTATTATCATATTTAGTCCCCAGATTTGGAAAAACATTTGGTTTAACAAATTAGTTTGATAATTCATTTTAAGGACAGTTTGTACCGCTATATTTAAAAAAATTTTCGTTTCGCAACTTTCAAAGTTTAAACGCAAATTTTCTTTCGTACAAAATACGTATTCATCAATTCATGTAGGCACCACTACAATGTTCACCTTTCACTGTTGACGTTGTATTACGATGACAGAATATTTGTTAATTCATATTTATGATCAAACCAACGTGCAATGAGCAAATTTTAGTATATGATATAATTTGTGTTTAAAAGTTTGTATTATACAGTAAATTTAGTATTTCAACACATTCCTATGACTATTCTTCAGTGATGTAGCTGCACGAATACACTGACTCGATATATTCTGGATAAACGTTAACCCTTAAACCTTAAAAGGATATGTGAAGATTGGGTGAAACACGTCCGAAATTAAATGCCATTTACAAACTACAATTGTTAATTCTTTAACAGCCCTATTTTATAAAAATCTTTTTGATATTACTACACAAACTGTGTGATATATTTGTGTGCAAGTCTGACAATTGGATCATTTGTAGGCTAACTGTAGATATTAAATAAGAACTTTCGTCTAAATTTAAACGAATAGTTTCACAATATTTGGGCGCCGAGTTCATTTGAGACAACGAAACGATGAAGTAAGCTTATCCATGGTAAGTTTATCTCGTATTATAAAGTAGAAAGAAAAAAGTCTTGTTGAATTGGATTAGAGAAAACAATGCTATACATTTTGATAAATAATAATATTAGGGCTATCAATTCATCTCGATAGAACTATTAAATGAATCAAGGTTTTCATCAAATATGACGAACTGTTTTAACATATTGTGAATCTAGTCAAACCAGCTGACGTATATGTATATCTCTAATTGATATTTTATATATTTTAGTGTTAAGTTGATTGAAATGAGGCATGATATTAATTGATAAAACTTAATCAAATATTGTCCCAAATATGACAGAAAGAAATCAGTATAGTCTACTCATTGTATTGTGCAATACTCAGTATAAATACGTAACCGTTAGGGTTTATCAGTTTTATTTATATCGCTGTTAATTTTAACTGATGTAATTATCAATTATTATTACTGTTAACACCGTGACCTCAGGTACAACTTGAGTAATTGTCACGAATCATAAAGCACTTGAATGATAAGCCTTTTTTGTAATGTACATACATATCCATACACACATATCACAATCAACAATAATGATGACTGTCAAAATAACTTGACAATGCAGCAGTGTGTAGTAATATTATTACAATTGATAATATTACTACTTATTTGATGAATAGAAAGTAGAATATGCATTACATAAAATTATGGAGAAATTTAATCATCTCACATGCAATCGATATAGTTAGTTAGATATACATGCTACATACATACCTAATGTGATTAATTCTCCATTTTTTTTACAAGTATATAACTCTTCTTTATAATCTGCTTCTATTTAAGTATTTGTGTACGCTAGTTTGAAAGTGTCCACCTTGACCTTATGCATATATATACATTGATATGCGAAAGCATACAGAAATTCATTGCTTTAACTCAGTAATTAGAAGATGGAATTAGTAATAAATTTTTAAATATATTAGAATAAAATCTGTGCAATTGAATTTTAGAATATATCAATATTAAAGTACATATTTTCTATCATTTAAATGACATTAAAAGTAGTTCATAAAATACATTCATTCCATCTTTATATATATATATATATATATATATGCCATGCACTTTTTCAAAGACAACTCATCTATCTATCTAGCCATCATCATAATTATCATCGCCAACACAGCTGAAATGTATAGTTAAAATGGCGATTTAGGGAAATGTATACATTTAAAATATAAAATGTCTTTACTAAGTAACAAACAGTAATTATCACATTCAATCGCGCTTTAGTACGCGAAATTCCTTGGATTTACCAGTATCAAAGCACGATGTTATTGTAAATAATTTGACCTTAATTACATTGTATTAGATAATGAATGCCATAAAGTACATTTATGCCTATCTGTTGAAATGAAACTAATTCAACAAATTAAGAAAATGATAATAAATCCATACAAAACTATCTAGCTTCTATTGACTCATGAATTTAACTATTAAATTTTTTGTATTTACTATCAGACTTCAGACACAAACGGAATAGTGCAAAAACTAAAGCACTCGTATCTAAAACTATACATATGGTTGTGTCCTAAATGATGTGTTTTGAAAGAAAGTTAGGAGCCGAAATCAGAAAAGTTGAATCTGTTCACGAAGTCAATGACTACTGGACTTAGCCATGTTCATAGGTTCACACTGTATGATTAGGGTGCGGGTGATTATCGTAACCACAAACGCCTATTGGTAGGTTTAGGATCCAAAAAAGGGTAGCCGTGTTTATACAGCAAACCGTCTACAACGATAGGCAACTACACTGTTGGGCTATGATTTCAAGATAAAATATCAATCGATAACGGGTTTCAGACAGACAGATGCTCTCTGAAGATTAATTGGTCCTCACATAAAACAAGAAGAGGAGGTGGTTGTAGCCGCCGTTGAATCTGAGGCCGAAGTTCTCACAGTGTTGACAGACACAGTTTATGGACTGCCGGTCGCATTCGAAGCCATTAAAGAAGCTAGTGAGAAGGATAATACGGTGAAAATCGTTCGCCATCATATACTCAACAAGTGGCTTTCACCACGACTTCATGGAGCGCTTTCACAATACACTCGTCGGTGAAGCTCCTTGCCAATTGTCGAGCCATGAATCATGTTTGGCTACCGGATTGTCGTCTCCAGAATTCTTCGACATGAAGTTCTAAAACAGTTCCATAGCAGGTATCTGCGAATAAGTGAAACGAAGTTGCTGCCTCGGAATTACGCCTACTGACCATCAATGGACCGTTATATAGAACAAAGGTATCGTAGCTTTGGTCCTCGTCTAGATTCCGCAAAGAATTCGACTAAAGCAGAACCCCAACCACGGCCAAAACCTGACGGACCTTGGCAAAGAGTACATGGTGATTTTGCTGGTCCAATACAAAGCAGAAACTACTTGGTTATTGTGTATGCTTTCACGAAGTGGTCAGAAGTATACGATATGCCGAACAATAAGAAAATTGTCAAGTGTTTGCTTGTTTCGTGGTTCTGGAGGTCTTGGTAAATAACAATGGCATTCAGTTCATATCGTCCGTTTTCAAACGGTTCTGCAGTGAAAATGGCATTACGCATCCACAATCTCCCCTGTACCATCCCCCAGTCGAATGACTAACAGAAAGATTCTTGGATACAATGATGATTTCGCTTTTACTAAAAAAATATAAATGCCTAAGTGTTTTGTACCATGTTTGACACTGTTTGGAATAAGATTACTTCCTAATCGTCTTTTGTCTTCTAGCTTGAGACTTGGAAGGTGCCAGAGTTTGTGTGCTCAAATTGTGCGTGGTACAACAAGAATACAAGCTCTAGATATAACACTATGCCTCATCATTCAAATATGTATACATTTCTCAGAAAATATGCGTGAATACAGAATAATTTTGATTACAAACAAAAATGAGTTGGGAAGCAACAAAAAAGTAGTAAGCAGTGAAAAGTTTTGTACATAACTGATATTCTTTATTAATGCACACACAACTGTAAACAGAATAGAAGTTGTAACCTACGAGTCTTGTACGTGTACATTGATGAGAATGTGGCCAAATTAAAATGAAACAGCTATTCAGTTGTATATGCTTCCCAATAAATCTTTAACTGATGTCAGTTCATTATGTAAACAACTAATGGACAAAAGCATATATCACACGATCTTCAGTGAGATACAGAATCCCATAAATCGTCTACGGATGTGGTGAATACTATTAGAAAGATTGCTTGTAAGTAGTATGCAGCGGAACGTGGCGTCGAAGCTGTCACAGTTGTGAGACGGAGAGACGAGTTGGGATTGCAGGAAACACCGCAAGATGCAATGGATGGTAGAAGGCTATGTATACATACTATAGCTACATTGTAATTTATCATAATAAACATTCCTTCTACCCACTGCCTTGTTCTAAATTTGGTGTCGCTGGCAAGAATCAGGAGGAAAGTGCTGTGGCTAGAGCCATTAGAAAGTAAAGACGTAAAGAGTTATCTGAGCCAATTCTAGGACATGGTAGTACTGGTCGATGAGCATGAGCAGTGGGGAAAGGTGATAGTTTTGGGGACACAAGTACGCAGCAGGGTGAAAGTGGCACCAGATGGTGTCGCTCCTGTTGATGGGGAGGAATCATAGGACGTCTTCGTTTCTCGAACGCTGATGGAGTTCGAAAGTCTGGCTTAGCAGTAGGAAGTAGTATAGAAGTTTAAAGTTATGCACCTCGTGCCAGACGAAGGCTTACTTGTATTGGCATCTACGTTAGCTAACTTGCTTCGATGTACATTACCCGCACTAGAAGGAGAATCGAAAGAACAGTTGCTGGCATCTTAATTCCTAGGGAGTGTCTCAGAGATTATAGACCAACAGTTTCGGGTGGCGAATGCCGAACAACCAATGGACATCTATAAAATGACTAGAGAAGCTACACAACTGACGAGTTTGGCTGTGTCATTAGTAACGAACGAATGCAAGACGTCAGTCTCCGTGGAGGGGCGGGTTGAAGGATTTCCGACAACAAGTAGCAGTTCTCAACCACTGGAAAATAATTTTTAGCGATCATCTGTGCGGTAGACAAATGGAGATCGTACATAGATGGTCAACGATTCCACTACAATGTGTAAAAACAGCACAAGACACCCACGAGGAAGTTATCACGACAGACGTTTCACGTGGAGAAGTATGATTTTACGATTGGTCAAATAATGAGGGGAGAAAATACGGTTGCAGATAAACTAATGTGACCAGAGAACGACCGCGACTTACCCGAAGTGGTTTTCGGAGTCAACACAGTGCAGTCGGACCCAGAAACACTTATTCGTTGTTAGGATCCCAAATCAACGCTCAAGGCAGCGAGGCGAGCGCTAGCCGAAGGAACTGACGCTAATACATCGGACCTAAACCAGGATGTAACCACACTTTTCAACCAGATAGATCGGTCAAGTCTGAATGCTGCGGGAATGCTAACTTAAAGTGGAGACGACAGGAGCTAAGTAGTGTTAATCACGAGATAATTACGCTGTGAGGTGATCGGTGAATGCCATCAACTAGCGCATACAGGTGTAGGGAGAACAACTGGCCTCTTACGACAAAGTCTTTAGCAGCCAAGGCTGAAGGGAGACGTGAAGATATATGTACTTGCATGCCCCCAACACCAGTTAATCAAGAGAGATCGATGCGTATGCATACCTCTGCCACCAACTTTGAGAGGTCTACGGACGGTAGACGTCATTGGACAGTTTCCTCAAGCATATAAAGGGAATCAGTACCTGTTGGTGATGACAGAGCACGGTACACGTTGGCTAAACATAAATGCAATTCCTGACCAACAGGGAAAGACAGTGAAGGAGTTAGTAATTCTACACATTATAGTGGACCACGGAGTTCCGAAAATGCTATTCACAGGTCAAAGTTCATGTTTTGATAGCTATGTGTTTACATCTTGCCTAAGTCACCTGGAGATTAAGACAATCTAAAAAAATCCATATTATCTACAGGTTAACGGGCTGACAAAACAAGACGATCACACATTGAATAAATGGCTGTGAGCAAAAGGGAGGTAACTGAGAGACGAAACAGCCAACGATATAACAGGCATATTATACCTCAATCAAACAAACTATCAGAAAGTCGTCTTTCTAGTTGATATATGACAGACAATCATCAAGTAATAAAAAGTTATTTTAGTAAACTTCAGGTGGGTCAGTTGGATAGACAAAACTAATGTTAATATTCAAAATAGAAACCACTGTCTAGGAATTTAAACTAACCAATAACTTATGATATATGCATACATGGTTAATGATTCTACTCGATTATCCAAGTCGAAGTTTGAGGAGAAGAGGGTTTCAAACATGCAACTCAATTATCAACACTCAAGTGTTCTAATCAATGAGTTAACGCTGCAACAAAAAATCTGAAACTCAACTAGTTAGTTCCATTTACCTGGAAGGTTTTAAATAATTAACAAGAACAAATAGTCATCATTATTATTTGACAACAAACTACCTTAAAACACGGTGACATTGATGACACTTGAAACAGCTCTTATGATAAACTCGACCAATAGTCTGTAAAGCTTCTAAAGGATAGACCACTTCTGCACAAGCATGACACCTTGGTTGTTCAATTGATTCTCTCGTTGGAAGCTAAAATAAAATAATAATTTCTGTATATATACAAATTCTTCAATCATTCAGAAAAATATATAGAACCAAGGAGACAAAAATTAACAAAGCATGAAAGATTGGAACTAAATAACTAAAAAAGAATAAAGGCAAACAAAGAGCTAGCAATGGGAAATAAAATTATATGATGTCATGCGTGAAATCAAAATGAAGAAATTTGTTTTCATGGTATTCCTGCTTCAAAGTCAACTGGCAAATCTTTTTCATCAAATCTAATGCATATCTATGCATGCACAGATAAATTTATGATTAATCCAACATTATAAAGGCAAGCTGAAAATTAAGACATAAGTTGTTAAAGAAACTCAACTGATATGATATATTTTTACAAGAACATATATATATACCTTGTTGGTGTACTGTTATACATAGACTTGACTGAAACAAGAGTAAATGTATTGACTTAAATATCGTTAATTCAAACATGTTAATTAACATGGAAATAAGAAAAAAATATTGAGATCAGAATTAAAATAAATATTTCAGTAGATTAAAAATGAACTTTAAATAAAAATAAATGATAATTGAGTAGTTGTTTTGATTACCGTCATCAACGTACTACTCATGTCAATATTTTTGTCCATTTTGGAACCCTATATGATATTTTTGAAGAATAGGGTAAAAAAACTGAATTAATTAATAATATTTGAAACAAAATTACAGTTCATGTAAAGATATGTTAACAATTAAATTTATTTAGTAGTATGTTTATTAATGGTATATATAATCAACCAGAATTCAAATGAATATTGATATTATTGTTAAAATATTCATGTCTCCGGTATTCCTTTTTCGTATTGTATTGATGGAATTAAGAAAAATTTCAATGGTTGAGATCATGAGTCAGTTGAAGCTAGACCACCATGAAAAACCTGGAAGCCTGAACGAGGTATATCCTGGAGTCCTAGTGAGGTCTGTTGTGAGATAGTAACTCACTGAAGACAATGGTGGATGTGTCGCTCAATTTCGTGGATTAATTGAAGTTAGATATTAACACCGTTGGATGCCGGCTCAGTGGTCTAGTGTATAAGTGCTCGCGCGCAAAACTAGTAGGTCCTGGGTTCGGATCTCGCAGGGGGCGAGGTCGTGGATGCGCACTGCTGAGGAGTCCCACGATGGAACGAAACGACCGTCCAGTGGTTCCAGGTTTTCCATGGTGTTCTAGCTTCAACTGACTCATAATCTTAACCATTGAAATTACTATAATATCCACGAAACCCATCTGATATTTAAAAAATTGTTGATAATTTTCAACTTAAAATGTTCCCATAATATTACATTTATTTCGTTGTATATTTGTAGGGTAATTTCAGTAATCAGTGATTGTGTATATAAAAAATAATGGATATTCTAACTAATTTAACATGTAAAATATTTGTAAATTTGATAAAAAGTGAATTCTAGCAATTGCACACAAAATGTTAGAAATAAAACGTAATTAAATAGAATTAAATTATTTTTTTTAGATATTTGAAGTATGTATTACTTTGTACAAACAGATTCGAGCACGCAAACAATGACTGGGCATGGTATAGTAAGTGCCTAAAATGACGGTTATCAGTGTTAATTACTTTGATCTTTTTATACCTCAAGGTATCATTGATTTATAAAACAATACTTTTATTACTGAAGCCTTCACTGATAATTAACTTTGGGTGAAGACAAAGTATAAACATTTTTTAAATATTTGCTTTTACTCTGTATAGCAACATTGGTTTAGCCGACAAGTCAATAGGTCTTGAAAAAAATCCTCGAGTAAGGAGTCAATAAAATACATTATTTAAATGTAAGCAATTTAAAAGACTTAATCAATTTATACTCAGAACATTTTTCAACCACAATTAAGAGCATTTAAAATTATTTCTCTGTAAATACTATCAATAAAGTGTATTCAGTCAAAAAATGAACATCAAATTCGTAAATAAGTACCAGTTTGTGTAATCACACTTGTGTATATCGTGGTGGTAACTACCAGATCTATCAAACCGAACTAGATGAAACCTGGGGTTTAACCTTTAAACCAACGATCAATAACCATTAGACCACTGTTCTCCAACTAATTTTTTATGTTACATGTATTCAACGTACATTAAGTTTATATGCAATTCACCTAATTTCACTTTGAAATGAAATCGATTGTCATGAATGAGTATTTTTTTTTAATGACACCCTCTCCATATTACAAAGCTTTCAATATAACATTTACATCCGACTTCCTCAAATGAAACTTCAAAAATAGATGGTGTTAGCATTATATAATTAATAGTGAGTTTTGTCCTCATTGGATTAATTGATTTTCCTACTGAATACTGTGTGAACAAATTTCACAACTTCTGCCGGTGAACATATTCCCGTATACTTCGGTCACTACCACCATGTTTATGTTCCGCTTGATACATTTAGTTTAATTTTCTATCCTTGACTACAGTTCGACTGGAATCACAATCTTAATGACTCCAGTATTTTAGTCGAAATTAAGTTTATTAATGATCATATCCACCCTTAATAAAACCTATGGGTGTATATTAGGTCATGGAACTGCCGATTATATTATTCTCCTTAAAGTGTAGCTAATCATTCAAAGATTCGCTCTTAAAATGACTAGCTAGTTGGATGATTAAACATCCACCCTACTCAACGGAATGTTTATGTAAAATACCCGTAAACAAGCTAACAATCTAATAGGAAGAACAGTACTACTAATTAATACATACTAACGACATTTATTGGTATACATTAATGATACATATGCTCTTTGACACATATAAATCTATGCATTATTATAAAGCCAAGGTTACAGACACCTCTTTTCAAAATAGTCATTTACAATTGACTGTTATAGCACTAGCTAGCCAAGATTATTTTCAAGCAACAAATAACTGATTGGGTTTATTTCAAATTTGCCAACAGAAATGAATTTACATGGTAAAAAGGGTGTTACACTGGTACCAATAGATATACATATTTCCATGATGAGAGATAGAAAAAAAAGAATACAGATGATGGATAATAAGAGTTAGACAAGCATAACACTGTAAAAATGGCGGCTAATTTAATGGAAATATTTCAAGATAAGAGCAACAAAAGCATTAGATAAAAAAGCATAAACTTCTGGTGAGTATGAGGAGTTGAAAAATACCTATACTGTAGTGTATTCATCAGATGTATTAGTGACAGATAAGAATAGTAACATTTAAATATTTTACAAATTATCATTACCACCTTGTGAAGTAAACTGAGGTTAGCCAAAAACTAAGAGCAAATCCACAATAGTAATATTATTATTACCTTTAGTACTATTATTAGCAATAATTAGTCAGGGGTATATATATATATATATATATATATATATATATATATATATATATATATATATATATATATAAGATCCTACCAGTTGGCTACTTAACCAATTGTTTAAGAGTTGAAAAATGAATATGTTCGGACTACTTTTCAGTTACATCATGGATATTAAACGAGTGATAAGACGTTGATACACAACTAACTAGTTACTAATTATGCAGCATAAATCAAGATCGTATGGAAAGTGATAGATAGAAAAAGTATAGAATATGCATATCATCACATTATATCATGACGAGTTGAAAATATTAACAAATAGATTCCAATTCAATACATATAAGTTCGGCACAAGCTATGAGGAAACCTGAAGGTCCTCGACTCCATCTCTGGTGGGATTGTATTTACGGACTTCTTAGGAGTTTCTTACTAGAACAAAAGACCTGTTCAGTGATCCCTGATTTTGAGTGATATCTCAATTAGTGTCAACCTGTGACGAAAACCACCTCTTAATATGTTTGATCTCCATAAAAATAATCGTAATTACACTAATTAGTTGGCATTCGGGTCAGTGATATCGACTTTTGGCTGAACAACACTTTCAAGTTCAACTATAAGAATTTACTGCTAAATAGGTACTATAATTTTACAAACTTAGGACTTTAACAGATTCATCAACAAATACTTTACCCAATGTTTTATAATTATTGGCTAGTAAAATTCTCATCACAATTTAATAGAAATCTGGATAAACAGAGTTCATTAGTTTAAAACAATCGAGTGAAATATTTCAGCTGGAAAACAGAAGTAATTAATTACTTCAGTGACTCAATAATATCAAAAAGTAGACCTATTTCATTAACAATCTACTAAATTAGTTCATTATTTTCTTAAAACAAGTATAATCAAGAAAATTAAGCTAAACCAATAACTGACTGATTAGCACGACAGATAATACAACATACCAATAATTTTACAAGTGATGATAAGCAGTCAGTGGTATAGCGAAAACGGTTAGCTGTAAATGTTGGTCGTGTTATGTAGATCTTACAAAAATAATTAAGTCCGATCAGATTTTAATGTTTTAGTGAATTAGGTGTTAGATGGCTGTTAGTTAACAATGGAAAAGTTGCGTTGATTGAAGGCACAATGGTTCAAACTAATTGAACGATGAAAAGACTAATATAGAACGTGGAATTTACGCCAAAGTGTTGCACGCCACATCGATTGGACTTACTATCAAAGATGGACAAGTACGCCATCTTGTACGATCCTCTAAATTATCATCGGGTACAACATTCATTTTAACTAAACTTTCAGAATCGCAATAATTTTGCATCGTCTGAGATTGGTGTTTTAAATTCTCTACGTTTATATGTTGTTCATCAGTAATAAATCGTTCTAGTGGTATGGTTCGTAGACGAGTTTCACTAGGTAATTGATGATTTGTTCCATTGTTCATATCTTCAAATTCTTCTGTTTCGGCGAATTCATTGTAATAATTATAACCAATACCTAACTAAGAAATTGAATTTAAGGACAAAAGCGATAACGATTATAATGACAATTTTCACTTGTTTTCCTAGTTAATTAAAATCTTACCAAATATGGATGCCGATAAACTTGTAGTGATAACAGTTGGATAACGTGAATAACAGGACTTTTATGGACTTTTTTGACAAAACATGATGCCAGTCAATCATTAAACAAAACTTACTAATGAGTACTTTATATATTTCTTTTGTTAGTAGTTATTTGCTAAGCAGTAGTAAACAGCTTGTAGAAAACAAACTATCTAGACTACAGTTTATGAACGACATTTGACGTTGGGAAAATGTAACCACTTATCTGGTTTAAGTAAGGTTAGAAAATAGGATCAACTGTTAGGTTTATTTTAACAAACTGACACCAGCTGTAGTGCAGTCATGACATATAGCAATATGAATGTGATGAATTTAAGACAGAATTCCAACATGTGCTATTCGATTTGCTCGTCTATAGATTGTAGTCTCGCTCGAAAAACGTTCCCTACCAATCGCAGTAGCAAAATTGGTAAACATGATATAAAATTCTTTAAAGTGAACCAAATAGTGATCAAATTCGATCAGAAATTTTATATGCAACTTAATAACCATATACGCAGATCCATGTAGTAGGCCATAAAATATCATTGCTGATAAAGTATAGCTAAGTAAACTTTACTAGGTAGGAAGGAACCAGACTTTCTCGTTATCTAGTTAAACATGTTAACTAACAAGTCACAATATCACAAGATGAGTAAAATATACCAAAATGTTTTAATTGAATGCAACTTTGCTTAACGTATTATTGGATAATTGAATTAAATGTAGATAGTGATGAACTATGAGATGATTTCATCCAACATTGATCGCCACCATTAACATAAACATAATATTACATTGTTTAGATATTCAAAAGTATGAAGCGCATATAAAAAGCTACGAAATATTCGAGGCAAGTGCATAACAATCCTTCCACACACATACACATATTAAACACTCATTTTATTGAATAATTTTAATAACTAACAAACCAACATTCATCAATTAACCTAATTTTAAATAAGAGGACCGTAAAAATACCAAACTGGGTTTATTACCTATATATATATATGCTTCACATGTAGGTACAGCTAATATGTAAATAGATCACTAAATACTAAAACAAAAAGCATGAGCTTATAATATTGCTTCATTATTTTACTAGTTATAATAAAAAAGGTGGATGTTCGTGGAATTTCTAAGCACATCCTAGAGAATCAGGTTTTCGGAATGAGAGTTTCATCAAGCCTAATTTAACCGTATGAGTACGGTTTACAGTTGAGATCGGATTTTCAGGATACGATGTATCATCTAATAAGAATTATTTATTTGAACTCACTGTCCCTCTTTTTACATATTCATATATGCATTTGTGCTTTTGTGAATTGACTAACAAATTATCTCTTCTTTTCGTAACTATGAATAAACCCATAACTTATGAGAGATATTCCAAAGTTCATTTAAATCCAATTCGATATGACTGACAGAATATATAATAATACCAGAACCTTGTGCAATAGATTATGTAACGGTATTTAAAGTTGCAGGAGTTTGAAATAAATGATCAAGGAAAACAGAACAACAATCGGTTCGATAGATATAATTTTGATGTTTCTCATTAATTGATAGAAAATAAAGGATTAGTTTATGGGAACGATAGATATTGATTTGAAACTATTAATTCTATGGTTTTTAATCGTTGTTACTTGAATACGGCTTGAAATCAAATGACTAAACCTGTACTTATTAAGTGAGAATAATATTCGAGATGGTAGGATGCGCCCAAATAAATGGCAAGATTTTAGAATTAGCTTAATCATTTTGATTGATACAAGTTTAGAATCTTGTCAGTTAATTAACAATGTTATTGAAAAAGATACATTAGTCAGTGAAATAGTTGAGAGAAATTGAGTCAAATTGACAGTAATTTAACATCAAGAACTAATATTGATCGATAATTTGGTAAGGGTAAAAAAAACCTTTACCACATGGACCTCTTATGTAATCAGGAATTCTTAAAAACTATGGGATCATATAACCCATTTCTCTAGACAAGAAACCGGTGGATAATCACTGAGTGATGTACGATTTATGCAGTGCAATCCTGGTGGCAAGTGTCAGCTACTCAGTAAGTAGATTGCTGTGTATGCGTAAACCAACCGTCTCAGTCAAAAAAGGTTCAGAAATGAAATGATAGACTGATACCCAAAAATGATTTAGTCATGCTACGAATTCACTGAAATTAAGAGTGTAGTTCGATAAAATGAAAACTATTTATTTATGCAGTTATCCATTAATGACATGATGGAACTCTTTGGAGCTTCAATAAGTGTACGTTACGAACATGTGATCTAGGAACTGAGTTCAAAGTTACACATACGACTATGTACTGACAGTATTTACATTACTAGTGTACTTTTGGCAAAGAAACCACCTTGAATACACTTCCCAAACATGTGCTAATAAAAGATGCAAAAGCAAACTCATTTGTTTTTTCCAACTAATTTATTCATCCGAATTACAGTGGGTGATTCTGATTTAACAATCTAGAACTAAAACTTCTTAGTAGTACTTGATTTTTTAAGGTTGCGAACCATACACACTCTCTCTCTGTTAGACACACGTAGAATAGTTTATCATGAATTCATGAAGTATTTTACAGCACTAACAAAATGTGAGCACACAGCAGAAGCAGCGGTGGACTGATCAATACTTATACATTGGTTGCTACATTAATAAACAATGTATTGATCAATATTAACGGCGAATTTTAATTCGTGATAACACTACACATCAAAATAACATGTAGTTTAAGTAGTTTGTCAAGCTAAATTACTTGAAAAGGAAATAATGAAACATTTAGATAAAGTATAAGTAGGAGTAATGAGTTAGATATTTCGGAATGTGTAATACGTGTGTCAGTCGTTAAACGCTCAAGGCATCACCAGCCAACCGACTTAGTAGTTGCCACACTAGCCCACCAGGTTACAGACTTAACAGTTTCGCCATGCAAAGGAAATCGTTGGCAGACAATGATAAAAAAGTACTTGTAAATCAGTACATCTTCTACCTTAATAAGTTAAGAGATGAATTCAAAGCATAAATAAGAAATTTCACACATACTACCACCTGCATTAATCCCGTAGTTGAAAAGTTGACTACACAATTGGACAAGATCTTTTGACAGAAACCTTATGTTTAGTACACATACATTTTATAAAATGGATAACAGCAAAAACAAATATGCATAAATTTTTCATATTTAATAGTTGAATCCATGAGTCAATTAAAGCTAGACCACCATGAAAAACCTGGAAGTACTAGACAGCCGTTTCATCCCAGTACAGGGACATTTTCATAGCTTAAACTAATCCTACTCACATATATTATTATTATTATAACACCTGCCAATGTTTTATTTAGCACTCAGCTCTATTTACTAATTCATACCTAATTTATATTATTCTATATATTACATGATTTCTGATTTGTAATCACATTATTATCTCTCTCACTCCATGTTAACCATGTTTATTCTGATCATTAATCTCATAATTTCATTTAACGTATAAACTCAGTCAAGTCAATACTTCATACTAGTCATCCAAACATTAACGTTTTTATTTTATAATACAAATCATTTTTAAACTATGTATTTTGCTTTAAACCTGGTCATATTCTTCGATCATTAATTGGGATATACAATTGTAGAACTTGAAAAGAAATTATTAAAAAAAAAAAGAATTATCATCGTTCATATATCTCTTGTGTAAGAAAAACTGATTAGCACTCGCATCTAGATCATTGAATGATTAATCAATCAGATTAATGAATGTATATAACGTGACATAGATGCATAAACAATACATGAAAAGTGTATTTAGATTGAAAAAAGATTAGGTGCTCGCGCGCGAGACTGATAGGTCATGGGCTCAAATCTCGCGGGTGGCAGGATCGTGAATGCGCAGTGCTGAGGAGTCCCATACTAGGACGAAACGGCCGTTCAGTGCTTCCAGGTTTTCCATGGTGGTCTAGCTTCAATTGAATCATGATTTCAACTATTAAAAAAAGTTTGTACAAACATCCGTTGCATCATGGCAATCAATATTATCCTTAACGTTATGAAGCTAACTAATCAATCGTGGGCCCCCAAATGCCCTGGTACGGCCGAGAGTGGGGAGAGTCCGCTCTCCCTCTCGAAATACTCTCACACGGCCACGCGTATATAGCCTCTGCCAGGGAAGTCCTACTCACTGCCTTCTCGTGGCAGGGGTGTTGTTTACGAAAATGAGAGGACGAAAAGCGAATGTCCGGCGCTTTAACCGGACCCCAAACCAATGGTGCACATGGGCTCCAGTATCCTGCGGGAACAAATGGCGAATGAACCAATTGTTGGTCACCGGCCTCCATGGGACTGCATCTCCTTACGATGCTCCACTGCCTTGTGGATCAGACCTTCAGGTCGAAGGCTCGGGGTGTGGACCCCTAAGAAAACCACCTGCTTCAGTTTGGGCACCCGGGCAGTATCACAGCCCTCACACATATCGAATGAGATTTGTGTGGCTCATATGTATTTGGTGCCTCTTTGTACCATTATCTATGTGTTGAAATAATAAAAATCAATCGTGGATGAACACAGATGAGAAGTTCCATACTAAAACGAAACGACTGCTTAGTGCTTCCAAATTTTCAACGGTGACCTAACAATGATCGGTTCATGATTTAAATGAAGATCAATATGAATAATATTGCAACGACCTGTAAGTTAACGTTTTCGAGATCCAGATATATTTTCTTGATTATGGTATCATCGGTTCACCCTATATTATCTCACTAACAATGGTCATATAAGTAAACCAAAAAACAAAGAAATTTAGTGATATACTTATATGATGACTTTATTTGATGACGCAAATAGGAGGTAGGACGGGGGTGTTGGTAAGCAATAAGGAACAGAGGGAAATCAACTACAATCTTCAATAAAATTTGAACTATCAACCCACAGAAAATCAATATTACTTTAATCCAACAAGTAATAAACAGACGGATAGATAGAAACAACAAGTGACTTGGTAAAATATATGCACTAGTCCTCCGTTTCCAAATACTATATTAACGCAGCAAGAAAAGAAACTAAACACCTAGGGCGGGAGAAACAGAGTAACTAAATGTCGATTCTAACACGTGTATAATTCGCGCAACGAATTTCGTAAATAGTTCTTCTTAAAATCATCATCGCCATTGCCATATTATCAGGCTATCTGCTAAATAAGATGCAACTGCTATGATGTAAACTGAATCAAAAATGATCGACCGGTTTGATTGACTTGGATACAGGGGTTGATTAGTAAAGTGAATAATTGGAATTCAGCAGAGAACTAATGTGTTTATTGTATCCCATGAACTAACTGACCACAAGACCTGTAGCTGATGATGCTTTAATCTTAAGTTTGGAATGTCGAACACCTACGCCACTGGATATCTAATTGGTTTTAATAACCAGACAAACCTACCACCAACCTTGAAGCCTAAACAAATACAGACGGTAAAAATGGGATTGTACGTTTGCATTTAGGATTAGTTCAGTTACAGAAATCTGGGAGTATTGAAGCTGAAACTAAGAATTTCTGGAAAACACTAAGATCAATAATAATAAATGTAGGTACTCCATTAATCAGATTTAAAATGAACAAATAAATACACATAACTGTTTCTGGGTTTCATAGGGCATTTCCGAAAAGACCTAGTCAACTAAAAAGTAATTCCGGAATAATTTGCAGCTTCTTGAGGAAAATACTTTGATTAATATAATTACAATTATTATCTCTAGGATTAAGAATTATCAGTTTAGTAGTTATTTGAAGTGTGTGTGTTTGAATACGCACAATTCATTATAAAAGAGTGTAAAATACGGAAATGAGCAACATGTGAAGTGGGGAAAACTACTACAAGTACTACGGTCCAAATTAATTTTAGCCACAAGATTTACCATTCAATCCAGTTTCAAATGATAAAAGTGAAAACTAATGATAACTACGATGGACAGCCGTCAAGTGTTCTCTAACTATTATTGAGCTCTCTGAGCTAGGTGGTTTCATCGTGAAGCTTTCTTTTTCCTTCTAGACAATATCATCAGCACTATCTTCAGTTAGAAATGATATATAAGGACTCTCGACAAGTGACTAGCAGCTTGTGGAGAATTTCCGTAGATTACATCAATTTTTTAGCAAGAATTTCTTTCAACGTCACTCTAAACTTGCTTGATGTAAGTTTGTTGTACGTGAAACCATGTTAATTATAAGCAGTAGTAATTGCAAAAAATAAGAAAATATCGGAAAATAAACGTGATCAGTCAAAACATTCATACTTTAGAATCAAATTGTTTTTTTGCATATTCTTCATGAGGATTATAAACTTCTAAATTCTCTTGAATCAAATTATCGATTTCTGTATTGTGATTTGCAGTATTTACAGGAGTAACTGTAGTAGGTGTAACCACAGGTGTATGACGAACGACTGTGGCCTAATTAATTAAAAACGAGAGGAGGGAGAGAGGGAGAATATACAAGATAATAAAGCGTTACTCAATATTATTTAACTTACCGAAAAGAAAGAAAGGATTTCATAAACAAAGTGGAAGAAAGTATGGTAGTAAAAATAAACATCTCATGTACAATCTCACCTTTAATTAGTCTTAAAATGTTGTGTTTGAACTTTTTAGATCATAGTGAATGACTAGATAAAAAGTCTGCCATCAGCGGGAAACAATTTAAGCTCATCTGTGAGTGTACATACGTGTGTATGTGTATATCGCTGATGATATCTCTTAGGCATGGCCTCCTTACATATAAAACGTATTTAATGTTAATACTCGTGCTAAGCCACTAAAAGTATGTTCATCAGTAGAACTGATAACATCAAACACAGTCTTTTTGGAGAATAACAGTAACTCATGTTGATGATGGTCAGTGTTAACAAGTAAAAAAAATATGGCTCAAAAATTCGGTACTAATTACTTCTGAATATGGAATATAATAGTGGAAATACAGTAAAGTTGTTAAACAATCCCAGTAAATTTAACAGGTGGGACGTCATATAATATTGTGAAGTAACACTTGGAGCTCTATGTGAAATATATTCTCTATGTGTTCAGTATCACGTAATTTGACTGAGTTCTCACATATCACTTTAAAACTAAGCGAACAGAAAACCAACTTCGGTAGTTGGAATTAGTCAGCAAGAAGCCCTAGGCATAAATTTTATATGAGACGGCACTCGTCAGCAAGGTGTGGTCTATAATCTTTAATCCTGATCGCTGTGGGATTTGGACCTGGAACAACCAGGCCAACAGAATGGAACGTTACCGCTGAGACTTTCGGGTCACGAGTGACCTACAGAAAGGCCGAAGTGCTTATGACTGATTGATTTTCGTGTAGTGACCAATGTCCTGTTCATCGAAATTTTTATTGCTGACTGAATTCTACCAATCAAGCTGTGATGTATGTTACCTGTTATAAATACTTACATAAGAATCTTCTACCCAATGATCCAATGGTTGTGGATGAATTTCAATCTCACATGCAACATCATTTTCATCGATTGTTGTTACATCCGAAGCTAAAACAGAATGAAATTCTCAGATAATGTTATGTAATGGGACATACCTCATCGTTTTAGATAAATTGCAAACAAAAATTAAATTAAGATTAACAAATTTATGGTTAACCAGATTTAAGCTAAATGTGATCAACAAAACAACTGGTTTCACTGATGTTTTTAATTTGTCTACGGCCTTGTCTAAATGCTGATAATCGATTTATCTGTAAAGTTAATTTTTAGACCATTACTACTATGATGATTTCAATCTCATTATTATTCAACTTGCTAATTATATATTGTTATGTTAATTTGGTATGGGGACTTGGGCCGTTGCACATTTGTGCCACACTCTTAGAAGAATTATGGTTGACTAGTGTTTTACTAATCACTGAAGTGAATCAAAGTTTACAATTAAAGAGCAGAATAATAATGATAATAAGATGTATACTAAAACAACCAAAACGACAGGATGATTATTCCTGTGTGAGACAATCAGTCAAATTGCAGAACTGACACAACATAGAAAAAATTACTCAAAATGGTACGAAGCTCAATTTATCAAAACACCAAGTAATGTTGAAACACCAAATTTCCATTTATGTACGAACAATATTGACATATACAAGAGCAGAGATTAATATTAGATTACTGTCAATAAATTATTGCCAAAGCATATTACTTACTCGAAGAAGATCTTGATTCTATTCGTAAATGCTGTGAATTGTAATGAAATTTTTGAAAAGAAAATAAATTAGCAGTTAAGTTGGATTACTAGGTAAACAGTGAATCGTATTAAATGATACTGAAAAGAAGACATTTGATTAAGCGAACTGTTTACGATAAGAACGATGAATTTTAGGAAAACACTGATTATACTGGAGAATAGGACAAAAGTCATGCAACGAAACAGAATAAAAGACAAATGAAAGTGACAACAGTTAGTGAAAACTTTCAGACAACATCTAATGGATAAAAACAACACTACAAAGCAAATAAAGGATGCATCAATTGAAGAATTACTTCATTGAGACTATCAACGAATTCGGTTATTTGCTCTTGAGACGAATCTTTAGACATATCTTGTTGGTCGGATGACAATTCATCCACCAGTATTTCGTTGTTTTTATGACACTCTTCTTGATTAATTGAAGCTTCCGATGCATAATCTTCATCATTGCCATCAACATAATCATCATCATTCTCTTCCATTACAATGGACATACGATCAGGATACCCAATGACAACTTGTTTTATTTCCACATTACGGCTTGATATTAGATTATTATCAGCCGTTTGTGATGGCTGATATCCGATATTACCACCACCACCACCATTATTATTATTATTATTGTTAACAAACGCTTTCTCTGCATTTTGTTCATAATTATCATCATCTGATTTTAATTGCTTTTTTCCTACAGATATTATTTGTTGGTTATCCATAGAGTCCGATAACAATTTCGCAATGTCGAATAATTCATCCAAAGTGTCATATTCATCATCACACTGTGTAACACCGGCTGTGTTATTTTCGCTATCAATGAGGGAATTAGACTTATTATCTGTAGAGTTTATTAATTTCAGATTTTTAAACACAATTTCATCGTCTTCTGTTTGTTTATTGGCAATATTATGATGGGCATTAATTGAAGAAACCAGCTCTGGCTTACACTGAGTATCACTCTACAGGTAGACCAGTAGTACAGGGATGGGTTACAACAAAAAGGAACAAAATAGATAGAATGACATTTGATTAGATAATGACGTACAACTTATCATCATTTAAAAAACAAACGAATGCATTTACATAAACGTTCTCGTTACAAATTAATATTAGCTGTGGAGGCGTTAAAAACTACAGTTTGGGGGGAGGTTTTGCTTAATTTTAAGGTTTATCCAGGAGTGTATAGACACCTATGATGTAAACGAGATTAAACTCAGGGCCTTCAGGAATTGAAAAAAACAATATATGGTCGTGTGATCAAATCAGAATATGAAAATCCCCAATTTCACATTCATCGGGTGATAATCGTGAAAACTATATCACTCCTCCCGCCAAATTGGTGGATTCCACAAGTCAGTTTCCTGCTACGGTATACAGAAATTTAAATTATAATGATGTAAACTGTAAATACTCTTTACAACTGCTCATTTTCGGATAAACCAACAATATATCGAGACAGTTTAAACTAATTCTAGTGAATAAACCGTTACCATTACTACTGTGTTGAGGGAGCAACTAACATTCCTTTGTGAGTAAAGTTTGAACAATCGAGACTGTTCTACTAATTTATGTCGATACAAAAAAGTCCACACCATTTTAAAAAAATACAAAGCAGGAAAACAGTACCAACGACACTCCATTCCGCTGACTTAAACAATGAGTGTTTCAGCTCAACTGAAAAGTTAATTACTGAGGAAATATTTTTAATTTAGGATAAAAGATATTGATGAGTAATTATTACCACATATTTTGGAAGTATTGCTAAGAAACTTTCATATCATTATTTTCATTTAATCTAGTTGTTTAGAGTTAAAAATTACAAAAAGGAAAAGAGAAGTTACGTATAAATTGATAAAACTTAACAATAAGTAAAAATATATCCAAACATTTTACGTTGGTTTACATAAAGAATGTTTTACCACTCAGCAACATTTCAATAAACTAAATTGAACTTTTACTTCTCTTTTAAGGGCATACATTTTATTCAGGATAGACGTAATTTGACAAACTATTAAAAGCCAAGAAATTACAGATAAATATTGTGGTACACTCTCCACTGTTCAATAAGAGTTAAAAATAGCAAGCTATTTGACGACAAGACACAGAACTATCAATGTTCATGATAACGGCAATGTTATCAGGACAATAAGTTAGAATTCAAAAGAGTTTACCTCAAGATTTTCGAATATACATTATACTGTTCGAAGACAATATAAACAATAGAAGTAGTGGAGATCGTGAAGTATCCGAAAACTTCAAACACGAAACATCTAGATAGTTTCATACTTATTTTCTAACTATTTTTCAGATAATCGATTCATTTAAAATAATCAATTTTCTGAGAAAAAACGCTTCCTTTCAACTAATCTTTTTATTTGAGGCACAAATCAGACAATCAACTGTGAAAGATAACATACTACATGTATGATTAGTGAGAAGGCAAAAAAACCAAACAACTGGTTTTCAAATATGTTCTTTGATTGTTTGTATACCACCATGTTTGATAGAAAAAAACCGAAAATAGTGGAACTTATATCAGTAGAAATACTTATCAGCGCGTTATGAATCCTCTAATTTCGTCAGTTAATAATTACTAGTATTTTTAATAGCACGCGTTACGTATTCTTCAAAAAACATAAAGCACTTGAAGTAACTGACAAAATACATTATTATACTAATTAATAATGATGCGTGCATTTTAGTAATGTAATGCGACAAATGCTTTCAAAGAATTGTTGATGTTAAAAAAGTAACGCTGAAGTTAGGCAAAAGTTATTATACAAAGAATTGCAGGACTCTTGATTGACATCCACGTATTAGTCATTTATGGGTGGAAACAGCAAAATGGCCTAAGATGACTAAGTATAGAAAACGTACTTATGATACACTTCCCTTCCAAACTTGCCTTATTATTATTTGATAATTTCCATTCCCCAATGTTATTTATTAATTTCAAAGTGCATCTTTGTGGTGTTTTCACTACCAATGATATTAATTAGATTATTCTTTATGGCGTTGCTGCTGAGAATTGTGCTGACTGGAATCAGTGGACATCTCTACGAAAAGTCCAACTTTGTCCATAGCTAACTAATACACAAGTACACTTATTTAATATTTGATATAACTTGAAAATACAGTAAATAAATCATTTTCGTCTAAAAAACCGTGGAAAGAAGCTCATCTTTGTATTGGTTGTTTGAATCTTCCCCCCAAATGCCAACTGATATGTTGAATTAACATTTTCGCAATTTAAACAGTTGTTTACATTTTTAATGAATATAATCTGTAAATTAATCCCATGCATATCAATTTTTTTATAAATAATAACTCCAAATTTTAGTAAACAATCCAGTTACACAAAAGTAGTCGTGTGTGAATTGTTAGCTATCGTCATTGAGAGTGAAATAATGAAGCATAAATAAATGAATTACAATTTTTCAACTCGATTCATTTTTGATACTTTGTTGTTTAGATGTCAATTATTTATATAGTTCTTGACATAAACATGGTCAGATTATATTTATTCACGTTACGGTCTTTGGAAAAGAATTTCGTAATAATGTCTCTTATGAATGAACATACAGTTAAACTTCCAATGTTTAGTGTGACAAAACAAGAGTTAGAGTATTGGCTGCTACTGAAAAAAATATTATTATTTAAATCAATTTTCAAGTATTGAGGTAACATACAAAGGAGGCAGCTACTCACCAAGTACAGTGGGAGGTCGTTGAGCAATATTAAAAGTTGATTTAAGTTAAACATGCAAATCAATGGATGCCGGCTCAACAGTCTAGGAGACAAGCGATCACGTGTGAGACCTAAGACCCAGAGGTCATGGATGCCCACTGCCAAGAATTCTCATACCAGTATAAAACAGTGCTTCCTGGTTTTCAACGGTTATTTCAGTCAGTCAGTAACAACGTAGAACTTCGTACGTACGTACATCAGATCGAATTGCCACACCACATTAGCACAGAGATGCAGTTGTCGATTCAAATCCCGTAGTGGTAGAGGTTGTAAGAGTATAGGCAGTAATCGGAAACACTAGCGTTTGAAGATAATTCAGTGAAATAAATTTGGGAAGAGAAAAAAGACAAGGATGATTCAAGATATTAGAAATTGGGAGTGAATGCACCTGCACCTTTGCAAACGATTTTGAGCCATGTCATTCAGGGTATCTTACCATCGGTTGCTATCATCTCGCGGTCCCCAACCAGGTAGTCTATACCTGCCAACATGACTCAGTCCACTTGTCAGTGACTTCATGGACTTGTGCCATGTTTTGGTCTGACCGCCCCTTGCTTTCTTCTAACCTACTCCTATACCATTGAGCATCGCACGTCGAGGCAGTCAGTCGTTGGGCATAAGTAACACGTGTCCCAGCCATCTCAACTGATGAATTTTCACTACTTCATCAATTGATTTGCCATCCTTACCTAGTACCCGTTTCCTAACAACTGCGTTACTTACTCGATGGTCCCAGGATATACGAGCAATGTTTTGAAGACACCTATGATCAAATACTAGTAACCTACCACAATTGATTGATCACTGGGTGGTGATCAATGTCATGTGCATCAAGTCCTTATTTAGTGCAGATCGAATGCTCTCGACCATCCGCCAGGGAGCACCAGTTCCCTCAAGATTGCAGGTACACTTTGCTGACGAGTGCCAAGTAACACGAAACCCGGGTCCAGGGTTTCCTGTCGACTACCTCGAACCACCAACTAGTAACCTACGAATATCCTCTATTCTTACCGGACATGTTTCACTGCCATAAAGTAGGACGGAACTAACCACTGCTCAGTAAACACGTCCTTTGTTTGATAGACGGATATCTCGCCTACTCTATAAATGACGCAAGTTGGCAAAAGCTAGTCGAACCTTCTGTATCCGTGCTGAGATTTCGTCACACACCAGACCACAAGGGCTGATGAGACTTCCAAGATAAGTGAAGTGGTCGACACACTCAACTACTTCACTCCCTATCATTAGTTCGGTTGTTTAATTAATATCAGCCCGTCATCCCAATTACAAGATACGAGTATTTGACTGGTATTTAAACATTACATATGAATATTAAAATCAGTCAAAAACATAATGTTTGTAGACAAGTTGAATATAAAACATGGTGGCTTCAGGAATTTTGGTGATTCTAGAGTTCTATTCTAAATGTTCATCGGAGAAAACAACTCCAATTGTTGATTTCAGAAAGCTGTTCAACTAAGCTAAAGGCTTAATAACTAATATGAATCATTTGAACTATTCTAACTCACGTATTTATGGTGATTAATTCAGTTTTCATGAAATTATTTCAATCCAATTTAATGAAACTCGGTAATCCAGTACAAGTTATTATCGTATGAAATATGAAAAATACGCATAAAAGAGTATGACAAGTGGAAAAACTCAAGTTAGCCAACTTTAATCATGTCTTGTATACGATAATGATATGAAAATGTAATTATCTCAACAAAACATATCACTACTATGAAATATATGTGAAAACTGTGTTAGCAACCTGACACAAACACTAGTGTAAGTGTTTGCTTATAGTTTTTCCTTAGTTCAGTGGATGATTTTACTAAACAACCGTATTAGATTTTGGTTTTCTTACATCGTGTACACGAGAGAAACTAAAATAACATGGCAATTTTTAACGAGTTTTAATTCCTATAAAAAAACTATTAAAACTAAGTTGTATGATTTCTGTAGTGTTAACACAAAAATCCTAACATTTCAATAAAGGTAATTGCTCAACGGTCTAAAAACGACTGACTACTGTGAATTTTTAGAACGAAGATATACCGGACGGATGATTTTCAAGTTTGGCTGAGTGGACACTCAACAGTCAGAGGGTATCAACCAGATGGTATTAAATTCTGCCTAAAGGAATTTACATATCCTTTGTCACGTAGCACCATAAAACGTTTATTCATATGTAAAAACGTATTCGCTATTTGTACGTTAGAATACTAGTTACACAGAAAATTCAACTGTCTATTGAGATATCTTACTTTTATTAAAACGTAGTGGAAAATTTTTGACTAGGTTAAATTCACACTGTAAGAATAAGCGGAAACTATTCAAAACAAAATAAGCGTCGCCATACTTTACTCACTTAGTCATGTGATAACTAAGTATCCAACAATGTATGATAAACTATTCAACATTATTGTTTTATTGACAATCTCATCCACAGTGCACAATTAAAACATAACCGTGGGAAATAAACCTACTAAATACTCATTACTCTATGTTATAGAAATATAGATGATTTTTACGTCTACTCACTCCATCATGCTGATTTTCTTTTTCGTGTATAATTATTGCCAATTCTCTTTGATCATCATGTTCATTATATGAATCCATCTTGTTAAATAGTTTCTAAAGGACTAAAAAACACAGAGTGAACAGTTTTGACAACTGAATGTAAATAACCACTTCAATTGTTGCTTAATTTTATTATAGTAGTCCTAAAAATGGGGAAATTAATGTAAGAAACGCAAACTAAAACGGATTGCACGAGCTAAAATTTTGGTGACATGGAAATATGATTATTCATTAACTTAATTAAACACATAAACATTGGTACAAGGAGACATCAAATGTATATGCGTGACACAAATCAAATGATTTGTGTAAGGGCTGAGATACTGCCCGGGCGCCCAAACCGAAGCAGGGTTTATTGCAAGCGTACTAAAGATTTTACACAGCTAAAACTGTTGATTGGAAGGCTAAGAAATACAAATCCTGGGAAAACAAGGCAACAAAAAGATGGACCATCCGAACGAAGTGACGATGCTGTAGAGAATTACGGGATATAAGTGTAGCACAAATGAAAAATGAGTATGAGAAGTATTTATCAAAACACAGCTCTACAAAAAAATTGATTTGGTTAAGTGAGATCGTATCACTTGTACAAAATTTCGATAGAACAATTAGAAGACGGAGTTGATCTGAAAAATGTGATGTATTTGCGCTATACATTCCGATCAATCAGATCAACTCCGTCTTCTCATTGTTCTATCGAAATTTATAAAAGGGACTAATTGCTTTAAACTTGTATAAAAATTGTAATGAGTTGTTACATCATCCTTAGTCCTCTATTGTAAGATTGTTGATAAGATTTCAAGCTACACCACCTTTACTACCGTCGCCAAGGAATCGTGATGAACAGATATATCCTAGTTCTATCGATCCATCGGTCAGGGTAAAGTGTCATAAACTGACCACCTTTCAGTCTTTTAATCCAATTCTAGTATCAGCAAGCAATTTACGATAAGAAGTTCATTGAGATGACATCGTAGAGCATGATCAAACCGCTGAAGTCGGTGTTGCAGATTAATGGCACCAACTGAGTTAGTCCGACTATCCATATTTCATACCGTTTTTCAGTTAAATATAACAACCTCAGTTGTAACGATTGTTTTCTGGTGACGAAATACTTGGTGCTGATCATATCAGTGGTCTCTCTACTTGTTTTACTGCTAGAACTTTCCAGTGACTTTCAATGGTTGGTGGATAGTTTTATTAGCGGCATTATCTAACATTCAGTGACCAGTATGTTGTAGATGCCGAGAAATTTCCCGAATTTAGCATCGACGGCTTTAACTATTGGGTATGGTCTCAAACTACTCGTTTGAAAAAGAAATAAGCTGTTGGTACCGAAGATAACAACAACAAAATACATATCCATTAAATGTATAGTAGTAATAGATGATTCCTGAAACAAACAGACGACTGGAAGTAGTGCAAGTAAAAAAAATATTTTAGGCTGGATCCCATCAGTAATTCGCAAGATTCAGATTATTGTCTTTTAATGGGTCCAATCTCGTTTTCTAATACAGATGTAGTGTTTCACATTGAATCCCAATGAAATGATCACGAGAACCCTTAGCATTCCCATTAAGATTTCCCAATGATAATCAATATGAACAACAACTTATAAACATCAGGCATATTTGGACAGGATGGAAATTAGTTTTCAAGTATAGATATCATATGGGTATTTTGGCAGAAGGTATGTGCTGAATTGTACGAATTAACGATCCTTCTAGTGTCTAAGTGGTGGTGGCGGCGGAGTGAGTGATGAGGCTAATTCACTTGTAGTGAGAGCTAAAGAGGCTTATGCTAATCTGGGCCGCCTTTGGTGCCTTCGTGATGTTAGTCTGACTGTAAAAGGTCGTATCTACAACGCGTCAGTGAGAGCAGTTTTGCTCCATACTTGTGAAACCTGGCTTCTCCGAGTTGAGGGTACTAGAAGACTCTGTGTTTGATCATCAATGTCTTCGGAGGATTGCTGACATTCAGTAGTAACACCATGTTCCTAATGCTGAGGTTCGGTATCATGTGTCTGAGCACTGCGACAACAATTCGATTAATGTCACTATCTTCAAAACTTGACTTCGATGTCTTGAACGTGTCTCGCAGATGTCGTCCCAGAGAATTCCACATCGTGGATTATTTGCTGATACAGAGGCTGGTTAAGAAAAGCAGAGAGGTGGTCAGTATATGGTGTCGTGCTATGAAAGAAAGCTGTACAAGAATGGCTTCCGTTGTCTCTTTGCGACTCCTTGTCTAGGGTCCTAGATATAGTACAACACTGGCTAGAATTGTTAACAGCCATGGCTCAGAATAAAAACCAGTGGCGATCCTGCTGTAACTTCTTTTTAAGTTGGCGAGACTCTAATTTATGGACGAGCCAACCAGAGGCGTTTTAGATATTTCAAGGTTACGGCGCCCACTTTGGTGCTAAATGCTAACGTACGATCGGTTCACAGGGAATTTTGTACAAAACGTGATAACTGAGCGACTATAACAAATAAAACGGCGGGACTATAATTTGTGGACCAAACAATCAGGTATAAGATAATAGATCTCGGATTTTAACGCGAAAGCCTTTCATCCATTTGGCTGGATGAATTTCTGGCATTATAGCTGACATTAGTTCGTGATGAAAACCCTATATATAATTCCTAACTAAGGCAAATTACCACAATTATTGCGAACTGGATAATAAAAGCACCAGTAACACTGGCTGCAGCCAGGTACTACAATATATACGGATGTTTGGAAAGCGTACAGACTCTTACATAGGCTTGGTTATGTACATCGTGTCATTATCCACAAGTAGCATTTTCTGCACTTAACAACTGGAGTGCACATAAACAATATTGAAGCTATGTGGTTGAGGCTGAAAGAGGTTTTGAGACTTTATCATGGCTCCAGAGGCCGACTATTCTGTAGCCGTATGGATGATTTCCTCTGCTGAATGCATTACGATTTTAGAACCTCTCAACCTTTTTCTAACCTTGACAAGTTTTTGAACCACGTATAAGAAGTGTAGCCACTTTATCTCCTTGGTTTTGTATAAAATATTTTTATTTTATAGTGGCTGTTTGCTGATTGTCTGATATTTCTCAAGGCTACTTAAGGTTCGTTCAAAGGTCGTCCATAAATTAGAGTCCTGCAGGAACTGTTTCTCCCAAAATTATTGTTAATATTACTATTATTATTTAACTCTCATTAACAAAATTCATTTTCATTTGAGTTCTTATTCATTACATGCAATTTGCATTCTGTCTCTTCAAAATCTCAATAATAATTTGTGGGTCATATGCATTTGTTTCAGCCTTGTACCAATATTTGTGTCCAAATAACTAAGAATTTAACCCAAAACGTAGAAACAATGTGAAAGCTAAAGTCTCGCACCAGTCACTTTGGTTTCATTTAGCTAAGTATTTGTATATCCCAAAACCTTAATACAATTTACCGTTATACAGCCGAAATTCTTTGATTGCAGGTACTCATAACCACTGGAAAATATTGTACTACAATGCCTCGGTTAGGGTTACGGTAGGCAGTACTAAAGTTTATAGACCACAGTGGATTATTAAGACGCGAATTGTGGTGTTAGAAATCTCTACCAAAAGCAGTAACAAAACTGAGTTTATTGCAATAGTTTTACGTAGGAAGTGATTTCGAAGAATACTAGTCTACATGTTACTTCAGAGGTGACCAGTAATCACTCAAAAACCAAGTCGAGCGTTATTCTTTTCAGAAGGAGAAGCAAAATATTCCTACCGGAAATTTCGAAAGACACACAATGGAATACAAATCCACGCCGTAGCAACAGCTCGATTCACAGAGATCAGCTCTCACTTACGAATTGCCGCCACCAATAGCTTAACCTGACGAATAGGTATTAGCGATTTCAATAAACAAACAGATTTTATGTAATTTGGCTAAAGTTTATTTTGAATTGTGTACAACTGAATTACTCCTATTTTTCATCTCCCAACCGAAAGAAATGAACGAAGATTAATAACAAAAGGAGAAATTGAGAAGAAATATAGAGTGGCCAGCTTCAGTTCTTTTGGAGCTGAAATATGTATCTTTTAAGAGAACCAACGAAAGCTATAATTACGAATATTTCAACGGGCAATTCCATTGGTCTTTAATGTGAATAACAAAGGCAACTTTACGACTTTTAGTATTTATTTTTTTGTATTATTCCCCTAGTGGATACACCTCAGATGTAGTTTACTCCATAAATATCCTAATGGTCTCTTAGAATAAAGAGAATTATGGTGATACTGAGCACATCTACATCATTTTCAGTGTTTTTATGCACTTAAAAAGTGATAATTCTGATGTCTTAAAGTGAGATGAGTGGTATATTTAACATGCTTCCTGAAACGAATTGTTTTATATGCAGTGAGAGCTGGTAATTTTCTAGTTAGTTATACAAATCAGTTAGTCATAATATGAAAAATCCACATTTGGGGATCACGTTTATCATTTTAGATCCATAAATAAGTGAAAAACTATAGATCTAGATATTGAATCACGAAGCAACTGCTGGAACTCTTGTTGGGGTGAACATTTTATAGATAACAAATAGTCATGCAGACCACCATATAACGAAGACTCCATAACATAAAGCGTTTCTTTCACATATTGAAAGGCAGAGAACTGAGAGTTTGCAAGGGCCGTAGTAATATTAATACTTCATCCCCATAAATATCTAACCAATGTATCAGAAGCGTAAGTCAATAAACTTTTCATGCCTATAGGTAACCCGCGTGCTATTGATAGAAGAAACTAGACAAGTAGTGAATAGGTCTTTGTTTTTCTTCGCTCAGTCACAATGGAGCGTGGGATTATTTATTTAGACAAACAAGGCCTCTCAACATTCTATATAAGATAATAGGAAATATAACGAATATACAAAATAAGGAAGCGAATGAATACTTGAACTGTACTGTTTTGGCATATGCTTGGTTGTTTGAGGTCAACTCTTATTCCACAAAAGACGAAAATTTTTATGGACCAGCGAGTGTCAACAGGCGTTCGATGTTTTGAAGGCTCGGTCAACTTCTCCACCTATATTAGCCTTTCCACATTCTTCAGCAGACTGAGGCGAATTTATACTTGATATGGATGCTAGTTCCTCGGCTATTGGAGCAGTTTTATCACAAGTAGCTCGAGATGGACACGAAAGGGTCATTGCGTATGCTAGTCGACGACTAGATAAGAGTGAAGCACGATATTCTACAACACGTCGGGAGATGTTAGCACTAGTAAAATTCTTACAACATTTCCGTCATTATCTGCTGGGCAAACCTTTCGTGTGCGCACGGATCACCGTGCACTACAGTGGCTCCGTTCTTTCCACGAACCAGAAGGGCAAGTTGCACGCTGGCAGGAACAACTACAAGAGTTCGATTCCACATGCGAGTATCGACCGGGAAATGGACATGCAAACGCGGATGCCCTCTTCCGAATACCCAGACCGCAGATATTATTAACGCAATTCTTAGTACAGCTCCATAGACAGACTGGCCCTCCCTACAAGCAACACATCCAGACTTACAGATTGTTTATCAAAGACAGCTACATGAAAATAGTAAGCCATCCATGAGGGGGCTTAAAGATCAATCCGTAACAACTCGTCGTATTTGCACCAAATGGAGCAACCTCAAGCTATATGGTGACACATCATTCCTAATGAATGAATCAAAACAACCCCTACTAATAGTACCGCGAGTGAAAGTTGAGAGCATTGTGGAACAGATGCATCGCGAACTTGGTCATGCGGGAGAACGGAGAACTGAACACACTGTCCGTCAACGCTTTTGGTGGCCATCCAAACACGAAGATGTAGCTCAGTTTTGCAAGAAATGTAACACGTGCTACCTTTTCAAATCGCCTCAGCAGACACTCCGTGCACCAATGACTCCGATGGTAACGACAGGACCACACCAGCGAGTTGGTATAGACATCATGGGACCACTGACTACGACAAAAAACGGGAACCGCTACATACTGGTTATGGTGGATTATTTCACTAAATGGTGCGAAGCTGTACCCCTTCCACAGCAAGACGCCCTTACTGTTGCCCGAGCTTTCATCGATCATTGGGTCTCCCGTTATGGTGCCCCTGTCTCACTCCACTCCGACCAAGGTCCATCCTTTGAAAGCCACCTCATTACTGAGATATGCCGGCTATTGGGAATCAAGAAGACACACACCACTGCGTATCACCCAGAAGGTAATGGTCTCGTGGAAAGAACAAACAGAACTATTAAAGCCATCTTGCAGTCGTTTGTCATCAGATCGTCACCTAAGTAATGGGATGAGGTGCTCCCGCGATGCCTTTTAGCATACCGTACGTCGGTACATGGGTCCACGGGATTCTCGCCTGCTATTTTGCTGTTTGGGCACGAATTACGCTTACCAGTAGAGTTACAATCACCCCTGCTGCCCTACGAAGAACAAGAGCATGTTCCGTACATACGTACTCTTCGCAATCGACTAGCTGATGCTTACCGTCTGGTCAACATTAACTTATGCAAGGCTAGTGGACACCAAAAATATATATATGATCGTCAAGCACAAGGACCTAGGTATACAGTTGGAGATCGCGTCTGGTTACGCCGCCCAATGACATCGCTAAGGGATTGCATTGAATTCCATCAGCCCTGGCAAGGCCCCTTTGAAATTGTCCTCATCCGATCGCCCACCACGTTTGTATTGCGTAACATACAACGGCCTAAAGACGACGTGATAACGGTGCACTAAAACCAGATAAAACCAGATCGGACGACAGTTCCCTTCGATGTTCAACTCGCTGATCCACCGCCGGCCACTAGATTTTACGAAGTATCTGAAGGAGGGACTGCATACCCATGCCCAAGATCAGGCACTGAGGACAGTGCCTCATCATTAAGAGAGGGGGCGACGTAATGGGATTAAAATCATCATGTATGCTGTTGTTAATAAATTTTGTTTTCTTTCTATTGCAGGGCAAGCAAGAATAAACGCTTTAGAAGAAGAAGAGCAAGCCCCGCACGCACTAAACTTACAGGACGACACATAAGACCGTTTTGTAAACTAGCTCTCTTTTTGTACAGAACCCGCGAATTTTAATTTTAAAATAAATGACTGTTGGTCTCCGTTCCGCGTTCTCTCTGTGGTGTGAAGTGTTCAGTTAACATTGTGTGTTTTGTGGCTTTAGGTCTTCCCGCCTTCTAGTGACTGCTGATTACACGTGTTACATATGAGTTCTCGCACACATGTTATCAAATATTATAGATTATGTTATTTACCAACTATTAGAAGCACTTTTGTCATCACACGTCGAGTTTTCCAATGCTTACGCTTGTTAAATATCTTTTATCCCAGTTAATTAGCAATTTGACCCATTTGTTGTTCACGTAATATGATTGATGAAATTGATGAAACTAGTAACGAAATTGGTCAAAAAATTGACTGGAAACTATAATATAATATAATATATATATAATAATATATTTCTGCATGTGCAGGTACACACCGTTTTTACAGGCATGATCTATAAATTACAACATTTGTTGGTTCACAAAATGTTTCCCAACTTATTAAGTTTATAGTTGTTATAAAGTGAAATCGTAGAGCGCTTGCTGTAAACTATGACCTTGAGAGGACGCGTACATCAAGTTTGTTCCAAACGTCAGGAGTTTCATAGCCGTGCTCTCAGAGCAAGATTCTGAAGAAAAAAGAGAAACAGAAGAGCAGCAAGGCACTTGGATATGAACACAAAACGTTGCTTAACATAGTGTAGTAGAACGGACAGAGGTATAATAAATTAGAATAAATTCATATTATGTCTTGTTAGTAAAATGAAGTCAGAGGCTCCATATTATAGAATGTACTAATAAAGAACAATGAGTTGTGATGTTTAACAAGTTGGAGTAAGCTCACATGAAGGAAAGGAAGTCAAGGCTGTTACTAGGAAAGCGGTTTATAAGAAGGGTGCGTATATAGAGGGTGAAGTGTTAAGAATATTAATGACTACATCTTTTATTGTCTAACTTTTTTTTCTTTTTTTGTTTTTCCGATGCCAGCCACACAATCCTAGTGTAAAAATCCGAGTTAGCATGTTATGGGTTGTCTTAGTAGAATAGCTAATCCAGCATAATATTGGAAACATGAGTTTGAGTGGTGAGCGTAGGAAAACAATCTTTATCACAGATTGGTTGAATTGTTCTCAGTCATGAGGAGCCTGATACATACAAAATGTTCTGTCCCCACAAACATGGGTGGATTGAAGTTATCGCCCTCACCATCAATGCTTGCTGGTCAGTAACTCCACCCTCCCTCCTTTTGTGATGTTAGGCTCATTTAGCATTATTTTTGTATATACGTCATACCTCGCACAATCCTCTGTTTCACAAACTGTTGGAAAGCACTATTTCTATAAGTACCATTTTACAAGCTTATCAGACAGTTACAAGCTATGGACTGTGGGTAAAGCATCGATGCAGTGCCTCTGTTGACTATAGTATAAAGTATAGTTTGCCAATCAGAGTATAAGCGTCAAGAAGGGTATATTGTAGGATAGTTGTTTATTTAAGCAGGCGGAAAAAGTATAGAAGTATATGAGTTGTGGATATGAGAACGAGTGGAGAAATAATATTAATTGCTAGTCAACATAGTGTACTGAAGAGTAAAAAGTTAATACAGGATAAACAGGAAGGGACTCACAGTAACTTGGTGCTGATGTTATTTTCTGTTGTCCTAACCAGTTGATTGGTAACAGGCTCCATAGATGCAAGACCACTGGTAGTAGGCAGCTGATTGTGCGGTCCTCTTGACGTTTTAGGGTGGTAGTGAGTGTC